AGTCTGTCAGCAAGATGGATTGTATTACAGCATGTGCTTGAACATCTCGGGGGGCATGAGAGGGGGCCAGATGCTGGCAGATGAACACTACAGCAGGCAGGAATGTGTACAGACAAGCCAATAGCAGGGAACAACGAAGTAATTCTAAGTATTAGTATTACGTAACACCTAGAACCCCAGTCATGAAGCGGAACCCCACTATGCTAGGCACCGTAGGAACAATGTCACTATAGCGATCAGTGAGATAGTCAGTGGTCTCAGTGCACCAGCCGCTAACTGAGGTCAAGTTTTCTAGAGGCACCATGGCAAAGGAGGGATATGAAGGAAGACCAGAAGTTAGTTTTGTGGATTTTTCTGGGGAGCGTGTCCCAAGCATGAGGGGCAGCATGCGAGGAAGCAGGAAGATGCTTGTTTGAACAGTTACCGTGGGGGATGCATCATGGGCCAATCAGAGGCAGAGGTCGACACAGAATCAGAGAAATGTAGGGCTGGAAGGGACCTCGAGAGTTCATATAGTCCAGCCTCCTGTGCTGAGACAGGACCAAGTAAACCTAGACCATCCCTGACAGGTGTTTGTTCAACCTGTTCTTAAAAACCTCCAATGGAGGAATAGCTCAGTGGTTTGAGCATTGGCCTGCTAAACCCAGGATTATGAGTTCAATCCCTGAGGGGGCCATTTAGGAATCGGGGCAAAAAATTGGGGCTTGGTCCTGCTTTAAGCAAGGGGTTGGACTAGATGACCTCCTGAGGTCCCTGCCAACCCTGATATTCTATGAATTCCACAACCTCCCTTGGAAGTCTGTCCAGAGCTTCTAACCTTTAGCGTTAGAAAGTTTTTCCTAATAATCTACCCTAAATCTCCTTTGCTGCAGATTAAACCCATCGCTTCTTATCCTGCCTTCCGTGGACATGGAGAACAATCAATCACAGTCCTTTTTATAACAGCCCTTAACATATTGGAAGACTGTTATCAGGTCCTCCCCTCCACCCCCAATAGTCTTCTTTTCTCAAGACTAAACAGGCCCAGGGTTTTTTTTAAATCTTTTCTCATAGGTCAGGTTTCCTAAACCTTTATCGTTTTTGTTGCTCTCCTCTGGACTCTCCCCAATTTACCCACAGCTTTCCTAAAGTGGGGCATCCAGAACTGGTCACAGTACTCCAGCTGAGGCCTCACCAGTGCTGAGTAGAGCAGGACAATTACGTCCCGTGTCTTACATACAATACTGCTGTTAATACACCCCAGAAAGATATTAGCCAGTGGAGGGATGCAAAGAAAGGGGTGACACAGTCGAAGTTCTGGGAAAGGATCTTTGCTGCAGCATTCTCAGCAGATATGAGCAGGGCAAGACTGCATGTCTCAAGGCTGGAGAAAAGGGTGTTGCAGTAACTGAGATGTGAGATGATGAGAGACTCAATGGGAGTTTTAGCTGTGTGGATGGATAGGAAAGGCCATAGCTTAGAGATGTTATGTTAAGAAAGGTTTCAGAGTGGTAGTCGTGTTAGTCTGTATCAGCAAAAAGAATGAGGAGTACTTGTGGCACCTTAGAGACTAACACATTTATTTGGGCATAAGCTTTCGTGGGCTAAAACCTACTTCATTGGATGCATGCAGTGGAAAATACAGTAGGAAGATATATATATATATATATATATATATATATACACACACACAGAGAACATGAAAAAATGGGTGTTGCCATACCAACTCTAATGAGACTAATCAATTAAGGTGGGCTATTATCACAGGAGAAAAAAAACTTTTGTAGTGATAATCAGTATGGCCCATTTCAAACAGATGACAAGAAGGTGTGAGTAACAGTAGGGGAAAAAGTTTTTACTTTGTGTAATGACCCATCCACTCCCAGTCTTTATTCAAGCCTAATTTAATGGTGTCCAGTTTGCAAATTAATTCCAGTTCTGCAGATTCTTGTTGGAGACTGTTTTTCAAGTTTTTTTGTTGGAGAATTGCGACTTTTAGGTCTGTAATTGAGTGACCAGGGATGTTGAAGTGTTCTCCGACTGGTTTTTTGAATGTTATAATTCTTGACGTCTGATTTGTGTCCATTTATTCTTTTGCGTAGAGACTGTCCGGTTTGGCCAATGTACATGGCAGAGGGGCATTGCTGGCACATGATGGCATCTATCACATTGGTAGATGTGCAGGTGAATGAGCCCCTGATGGCGTGGCTGATGTGATTAGGTCCTATGATGGTGTCCCTTGAATAAATATGTGGACAGAGTTGGCAATGGGCTTTGTTGCAAGGATAGGTTCCTGGGTTAGTGTTTTTGTTGTGTGTTTGCTGGTGAGTATTTGCTTCAGGTTTGGGGGCTGTCTGTAAGTGAGGACTGACCTGTCTCCCAAGATCTGTGAGAGTGAGGGATCGTCCTTCAGGATAGGTTGTAGATCCTTGATGATGCGCTGGAGAGGTTTTAGTTGGGGGCTGAAGGTGACGGCTAGTGGCATTCTGTTACTTTCTTTGTTGAGCCTGTCCTAAAGTAGGTGACTTCTGGGTATTCTTCTGGCTCTGTCAATCTGTTTCTTCACTTCAGCAGGTGGGTATTGTAGTTTTAAGAATGCTCGATAGAGATGTTGTAGGTGTTTGTCTCTGTCTGAGGGATTGAAGCAAATGCAGTTGTATCTTAGAGCTTGGCTGTAGACAGTGGATCATATGATGTGGTCTGGATGAAAGCTGGAGGCACGTAGATAAGTATAGAGGTCAGTAGGTTTCTGGTATAGGGTGTTGTTTATGTGGCCATTGCTTATTAGCACTGTAGTGTCCAGGAAGTAGATCTCTTGTGTAGACTGGTCCAGGCTGAGGTTGATGGTGGGATGGAAATTGTTGAAATCATGGTGGAATTCCTCAAGTGCTTCTTTTCCTGGGTCAAGATGATGACGATGTCATCAATGTAGCGCAAGTAGAGTAGGGGCGTGAGGGGATGAGAGCTGAGGAAGCGTTGTTCTAAGTCAGCCATAAAAATGTTGGCATACTGTGGGTCATGCGGGTACCCACAGCAGTGCCACTAACTTGAAGGTATACATTGTCCCCAAATGTGAAATAGTTGTGGGTGAGGACAAAGTCACAAAGTTCAGCCATGCTTCCTGAGCTCTCGTCCCCTAGCTCCACAGAACCTAGACTCTCCCACAGCCATGGAGTTGAATCGATGCAGGGTTGGCTGAGCCCGGTCTTCCAAGGTAAATTGACTGGGTGGGGTTCTTTGTATGAGATTGTAAAAGGCTAATTCTGCATGGACATTGAAGATTGTAGGATTCTTTCCAAGTAAGGGGCTTGCCCAGTGTCTTTGGCCAAAGTGTTCCCTCTCCCTCTATTGCTGGGCACCAGTAGCTGTCTGTCTCCACCCCAGAGGTGGCTGCTTTTCAGTGGTGATGTACATACGGTAGAACCTCACTGATCTCCATATTCTGTAAGACACACTCACAAAAGATGCCTCTTCCCAAGTGTCTGCAAAGATTTAATAGCAGGGTCTTCTCAATGAAGTTTACTACTAGCAGCACTTTATGACCTAAATTCTGAGAGCTGAGAGCACCCAAAACTCCCACGGAAGTCAATGCTCAGCTCAGGATTTGGCCCCATTCTTTTTAAGGTACGTTACTTACGACACTTGGTTCATTTAATCTGAACTCTCCCGGTTAAATAAAATTTGTATCCATTTCCACACCCCTCTTGTACCTTCCAGTCTTCTCATCCTTCAAGCTCCACTACATGGTCCCTTGTTGAGAGTGGAATTAGGAATGCCACACAGTGTCACCATGTTGTACTCTGATTCTGACCTGACCTGTGCTGGCTGCAAAGTCCTGTTGTGTTCTCCGCTGTGCAACGGTCAGTACTTCACCCTGGCCCGAGTGAATTCATGAGCTTCTGATGCATGGCGTTTGCAAAGCAGCTTGGGAGGAAAAGCATCCCGTACCTGGTGGTAATACTGCCAAGCTGCTGGCATTGGCTACGCCTACTGCAGTCGGTGCAATCTCCACGCTGCATATGGCCATGATGAAAAGCATATTTTTCTGGGCTTACAACAGGCACCAACATTAAATTAAACCGCCCCACTCTGAGACTGCAGCTGGCTGTGCACTCCTCACACAGATCTGCAAAAACACCTTCTGTGTGAGGATGTCTGCACGCTTTATAGACAATAACTTCTTAATGGTCACAGCCCTTTGCATGCTAAGCATTATCGTCCTCGTTTTACAGATGGGGAAACAGAGGCAAAGAGGGGTTAAATATCTGTTGCTGAAGACCTCTGTCTCCGTTAATGCAAATTCTGGCTTCTGAAGCCCAAAAAACAGGCAGAGGCTTCAGGAGAATTTTAAAGGAAAAATATGATTTTACTGTGTGAAATTGGGAGAAAGATAAGCAACACGTGCCATGCCACCTTGTGGCCACCAGGTGTCAGCCTTTGCGCAGTTCTCAGTCCTCTTCCTGTCACATATACCACTGCAAGGTTAGCTGTATTTACAAATGCAGCTGTCAAGTTTTGATCCTTACGAGTCTTGCACAAGCCCGACTATTTCGAAGCAGTATAAAATGGGCAGGTCCAGTTCCCCTTCAGTTGCCATGATCAATATGGAGCGGGGTTTACTTGCATCCCAGCAGCAGTCCCTTTCAACGCTGCAATGGTTTACTGTCCACAGAAGGGAACCGAAGGAGCTAATTAGCCCCAGATCCTGATTTTTTTTTCCAAGAGTCTAACCAGCCGCACCCCGCCAGTCCCTGAGACTTCAGATCCAAGCTCTAAAGTTCTCCAGGTGGTTCCGGAAGCCCACAGTCCGGTTACAATGCTCCTCTCCCCGCAACACCTACAGAAAGACCTGCAGGGTTTGGGCCAAAAGACCCATTCAGCTGTTGGGAAGCGGGGAGGCAGGAGGTGCTCAGACATGAGGCTGAAGCTAGAAGGTGCGGAGTGTAACAGCAACTCCTGCCGTCAGGGGGATTCACCATTTGTAACCCCAACCCTCCTCGGGAAAGGAAGGGTGTTCTCCTACCAGCTGTGTGTGTGTGTGGGGGGGGCACAGCCCTGCTTACCAAGCACCCCCCACGAGAGGCCGAGGGCTCTCAATTCCCACTCACTCCACCAAGGGAGGGCGCTCAGCCCCTCCTAAGGTAGAGCCTTCCTCTGGAGATGCTGGTGAGCAGGGAGATGGGATTTGCCCCTAGACTAGCTGTGGTAGGTGTTGGGCCCACGGCACCGGGAAAGCGATTCCTTGCTATTATTCACAACTGATCTCTCTCAGCCTCCTCTCCCCTCCACCCGGACCCCAGGCGCCTCTCGTCCTCCTCTCCTCCATCCTGCCAGGCGTCTGCCTGCGATTTGCCCTGGATGCAGCGTGAGATCTACTGGCTGCCGGACGCTGCCACTGAGCACGTTACACCTTCTTACACGTGGCTGGGGCCTGATTTGACCCTCCCTGCTCCGAGCTAGCAGCAGATGAAAGAGGCTCCCTGCAGTGCTTGGCGCATCTAGCCCCCAAGTCAGGGCCGCCCTACCAAAGGGAGCGGTTCCATTTGAATGGCCAGATATGTAACCAGTCACCGCATCCCAGGCCACAAAGAGCAGCTGGGTGCCCTCAGCACGCAGCCTAAGAGTGCTTACTCAGGGAAGAGGCTGAAGGCCACAGAGCCAGGAAGTTCCACTGTGGGAAGGAGGAATGCTGTGCAAAGGGGTGCATGCAGAGCACCGTGGGGGCTGCCTGCTTCCCCAGTGCACCGGGAGGCTTTAGGGGCAGAGTGGGGCTGGAGTTGCACTTCCCACATGGGCAAGGCAAGGAGAGGGGACAGTGTAAGCCTCGAGGCAGGGAACGGCTCCAGGGACACACTGCAGCCTGGGAAGAGCATATTCCGTCAGGCTCTGCCCTGGGCCTTACAAGGGGTTGGCTGGTCTCAAATGGCCTCAGTAAATAATTTTGATCCCTGGGATCCAGCCTCATCAGAGCCCAGTCTGAGTTAGACAAAGCACTGGTCAGTTTCGTGCCCCTGCAGTTAACTAGGTCCCATTAGATCTTCCTCGTGGCTTGAACAGAGCTAGGTTTGCTCTGAACAATTAACATGGCGCGTACAAATGAACCCGCTATCTTCTGATTGCAGCCGTGCACCAGGGCTGGAGCCTGGGGGACAGCTGGGGTTTATTTCATCTCATTCCGCAGTACCTGCACAGCGCTGCGAAGCCGGGAAGTGCTCAGCTGCGTTACCTACGTTATTAATTTTTAATTGCTGTTCAGCGATGAGTAACAAAACCAGCTCTGATTCTTCAGCCTCTGCTCTGCTGGCTCCGCTTTTCAGCAGCACTCTTTGGGGCCACAGCAGCCCGCTGGCTTGGGAGCAAGGTCCTTTGCTTCCAGCCGCTCCACTAACTGGAATGGATCAACGATCTTTTCCTATAGCAAGGAAACAAAAACAGCACTAAATCAGATTTGAAGGGGCCGGAAAGGCTGCCACTGCCAGGTGGTTTTCCCTGGCGCTGGGAGGAGGGCTGTGAATTCCTGGGAATCTCCCCATTGTCCCACCATCATGGAGCCCCCCCCAAGTATTGCTAGCGCCCTCTCTCTGGCTGAGCAGGACTGGATGGGACCCCTTCCTGTGCTTGTCCAGCCCCCTCTTCAACTGGCTGGCGAACTCATACCCGGACCCTTCCTGCCATCCCGTTCCCACAGCTTTTTAACATGGATCTGATTGTTGGGCACTCACAGAGCCACCTCCCTCTTTGTTCCCCTCCCACTCCTCATAAAGCCACATATCTTCCTCTGAGCCTCGCAACAGCTGCCCCACCGGCACAGGGTGAGTCACAAACGTCAGCCCCAGGGGCCCAGCCACGGGGATTTTGTGCCACTGAGCTAGTTGGCTGGCGGTGGTATGCTCCTGTGGGCAGGGACTGTGTCGGCCGCGCTGGAGTGTACAACCCCGAGGACGCTGTCAGCAACCAGACAAACCATAACACTGCTACCTCCACCTGGACTGTGACTGCATCAGCGCTCAAGCTAAGCAGGCTGGGGTGAGGTCAGTCCTTAGATGGGCGCCCTCCAAGCATCAGTCACAGCGGTGGTGGTGCGGCAGTGACTGGCACCCTTCCCTCTCCCATACTTACTTCTCACGAGAGCATATGGGACTGCCAGCCAATCCTATTGTGGGTAACTGCACCCCGCATATTTCAGCAGCCCTGCTGATTCTCCTGGATACAACCACCTGTTCTGCTGCCTGTCCTGCACCATCACAGACGACTGCTCAGATCCTTACGTGGCCTGCAGCGTTCCACCCCAGAGGTAGCTGCATGGGCAATGGGAGTCCCATGAGGATGGAGAGTGTGACGCTGCACAGCCTATTGGCAGCTCTGTCAATCAACGATGACTCTCTCCAAATCCGACTGTTCAGATTCCCGCCTGGGAGGAGTGCCCCAGACCACAGCAACGTGCAGGGCTGAGCCAAACCCACAGTGCTCTCTTTCGGTTCATGGAGGGGAATCCAGTCCCAGTAGGAAAAGGAGAGGCGCTGGGGGAAGTTTGTCTCAGCAGGAAGGAAGCAGGAAGCCAAACTGTAACATCAGCCACTGCCATCTAGGTGCTAAGCTCCTAGCCAGGTGCACTATCCCCCTGAGAGGAGAGGGGACATTAGCAGGCCACAGGGCTGAAGGAATTTGAATTCTTCACCCACCGCGTGGGCCAGAGTTAGGGTGCTGGAGAAAGCTGATTGGTTTGGAGAGCTCAGCCTGGGGTCTCAGGCACCAGCCGAAAGTCCAGGAGGGGAACGCTGCAGGGAAAGGTGAACCCAACCTGGTTCCCATTGCAGGGGGAGGAGCCGTAATTTCCTTACACGTTTCTGTTAATAGGAGGGTTTGTAAAAAGAATCTCCCCCCCCCGGCCCGCCCTTTGGGAGTTAACCCAGCCAATCTCCCCTCCCCGCAATGTGCCCTGGCCCTCGCACTGTGAAGGCTGAGGTTTCCTTGTTTCAGTTATTAACAGTCTCCCTGCCCCGGGCGGAGGGAGGTACGTCGCAGATGCCAACCCCATGTCAGCCCCTGCCACCCACAGCATCAGCAGATTTGGAAATCTCTTTTGCTTCTGCTTTTGAAGCCCGTAAGGCATCACTTTTTTGAGCTTTTCTCTGCGACCAGGAGGGCTAGAAACATCTCTTTGTAAATAAAAGCGGAGAATCACCTGCCTCCGGGAGCTGAGGCTTTAAGCAAAACATCAAATATTGCAAGGCCAGCAATAAAATCACTAGAGCTGGCAAGACTGCTGAGATGGTTACGAAGTGGTGAAGTGACTTAGCCAAGGCAGCACAGGGAGGCGGTGGCAGTCAGGAATAGACTCTGTGCCTGTACTGGTATCATCCTTCCTTCCTTTAAAGTACAGAGGTCCTTTAGCCCTACCCTACGAACAAGGATTGAAGAAAGCTTCTCCTAGCTGCTTTCCCAGCCTCCCCAGGTTGTTCTGGCTAATTAGCCACAAGTTATCACCAGTGGCATTAGCCTCTGTTCCACTTGCAGATCCCTGCCATTGCTGGCTGGCCAGTAAGCACACCTTGATTCTTCCGTTAGCGGAGAACTAACCCTTAGCCCACCGCACCAGCTGCCTGAGCTGTGCCTCAGACAATACTGGCAAAAAATACACTCCTGGAAAGAAATCCACAAAGAACCCCCCTCCCCCCCCCACAATGCCATCCTTAGCTGGGGCTCCTGGGGCATGATATCTGCACCCAGTTACAAATGATCTGTGGGGCTTTGCATTGCTTAGTTGCCACGAAGAGGCAGAGAAAGAAAAAATGTGCCTGTGCCTTTAAGAAACAACTCCACCACCCGTGCCAAATGCGGCAAGGTCAGCGATTATGAAGCCCCCAGTCCCTTGAGCACATTCCTTTCGGCAAAGGGCCTATCTTTCCCCGCCGATAAGCCCCGCAGCCTATCAGCCACCTGCATCAGCTCTCCAATTCACTGGAATATTTTCAGTGCTGTGCATGAGATCTGGCCTCCTATGCTCCCAGGGGGAGGCTGGGAGGTTTTTAATGGTCCAACCTGTCATTCCCAAGCGTGATGAATGTGAAAGCCTTTCACAGGATGCCAAGGAAATTCTAGTCCCCAGGGCATCATTGTTTTCTTTTTTTTAAAACCAGTCTGGCCTTAACAGAGAGAGGAATCTACGGCAGGGCTACAGCACACACTCAGGGGCAAATGGATCATCAGGGTCAGATGGTTCTGAAGGGGCTGAAAGGCAAGGTCAGGGGAGCTCCCACAAAGGTGTGTAAGGTCAGGAGCAAAATCTAATGGTTAGAACCAGGGACTGGTAAGAAAAATATCTGGTGCTATTCCCACCTCTGCAGCCACGTGACCTTAGGCAAGTTGCTGCCCCACTCTGTGCCTCAGTTTCCCCATCTGTACAAATGGAGGTGATGCAACTCACCCTTCTCCCAAGAACTGTACGAGGGTTAATTCACGTTTGTACAGCACTCAGACAGTCATGGACAGGAGTCTCCAGAGAAGTGCAAAGTACAGGGGGGTTGAGTTTCAGAGGCACCGAAAGTCCGTGGGAGTTGGGTGCTTGACTCCCATCTGTGCCTCTGAGAATCTCCCCCCAGCTCCCTACAAACAGTTTGTTTCAGAAGAATGGAAAGTCACCCACTTGGTGCCCAGCTCAAAACAAACGAACCCTGGGTGAACGGATTCAGGGAGCGTCAGGCCGGGGAGCTCACTTCGCTAAAAAGAAAACGGATGGAGTGTATTTATGGAGAGAATCATGAACATCCCGCTCCTCAGCCCACTCGTGCAAACACCTCCGGGATGGTTTAATTGGCCTTTCAAACAAGCTAAGGGGCTTTCAGAAAGAGTTAATAAACAGCAGAGAAGAAGGGCCCAGCAGCTCTAATTTACTGACCTTCCCAAAAGTCTGACTGTGTCCGGCACAAGAAACTACTAAGGAAACAACAGCCTCGCAATCAGCACGTCCACAGTGGAGCGCTTTGCCCACATTTACTCACACCGCTCCCGCGGCGAGGAGCAGCAAAGCCTTGGTAGGGATGAATCAGAAGAGAGAATTGCTGCCTCTCTGCCTACAGAGGTTACCCACAGGGGCCGTATTGGCACCAGTCCCGCTTAATGAACCGGATTCATCCTCAGGGCCACGCCACTGCCTGCCTCAGAACATGGGAGCTCTCGAGCACAAGCTGTGAGGTGCTGTAATCTGAGCCAGAACTAAAGGAGGACTGGACTTTTATATAGATAACTAAACGATCCAGTTATCAATTACTGCCCACTCAGACAGACTAGACCTGGCAAATTCCTATGGACATTTGCACATGAACAGCTATTTAAGTTGGTGACAACCAAAAGGGGTTTGTGAGAAACTACAGAGGAGCCAAACAAAGCGTATAGCAATAATACGACAGCATCCCATACTACAGATCCCTTGTGGCGTCTGGGGATCAGGATAGCACTGCTCTTGCAGGGAGTGGGCCAGTAAAATGGCAGAGGAGGGGCGTTGTTTCTAAACGACGGGTATGTCTACATCGCAATCAAGAGTGTGGCTGCAGCTCGTGTAGACATACCCAAGTAGCTTTAAACCAGCTGGCTCATGTCCCAAGAGCAGTGAAGCCGGGCGGCACAAGCCTACCAGGGACCCGGAGTACTTACTCGGGCAGGGAGCCTGTGCTGCTGTGGTTTCACTGCTATTGGCACTCCCTCCAGCTAGATGAAAGCTGCTCAAGTATGTCTACACATGCTGCTGCAATCACCGCTCTGATTGCAGCGTAGACAGAAACAAGGAAGTGTTCTGAGAAAGTGTATCAGCAGAGGGCTGGCGGGCACTAGAGCTAAAGCGAGGGGCCAAGCCCAGTACACAGCAGGGACTGAACGTGGGGGACTCCCCAATTGGCCCCAGCCTGCAGGCATCAGCACCCTGGGGGTTAACAAGTGCTGACTCATTGGGCCATCAGTAGCCATCTAGGGGCGGGAGCTAGGGTTAGAGACAGAGAGACGCTAAGGGAAGAAACCCTGGGCCCAGCCCAGTCTGGGGAGAAAGTTTAGGCAGGGGTTGATACGGCATTATTTTTTGCAATTACCTTGTTACTCACCCAGACGACAAAGAGGGGTGATGCTTTTCTGGCTCTCTACTGAACGTGCAGCTGTTGCATATGGGGCCTGAAAACAAAAGACAAGCTGCAAAGCCAGTGTCCCCCTCCCCACAACACTCTTGGCAGTTTCGGTAGCCTCCCCTCCAATAGACGGAAAACATCCAGAGAAAAGCAATGGTAGTTGTGACTGATGGGACCTATCTAATGACTCAATGGAGCAGTGAACAGTTATAGGCACTGCAGGGCAGATGCTAGAGGCAGGACAGCAGGCCCCCCAGGTGCCAATTTCCAGGCAATACTGCCACACAGCTGTGTCACTGGGCTTTTTTCCCCCTGCTCTGATTGGCTGGCCATTTTTGCTTCACCCTTACTGGCTGGTCATTTTTTTTTCTTTTGGCTTGGCTGGTGGGAGAGTGGTGTTGCCAGAAGTGTTTTCCGGGTGATAAAACAGCGAGAGCTCCTCCTGCAACAGGGCTTTGAATATTACTAGGGTGAGATTAAGGGCAAAATTCTGTACCCAACTCTGGGCGGGGAGACCCCTGTCTCCATGCAGAGCCACACGGATGCGGGGGTCTGGCCACATAGAGCTGACGGCATGAGCGAGGCCTAAGATCATTTAGGCGAGAAAGGAGAAGAGATTTCCCTGACACACAAGGCAGGGGACAGTGATCATCAAGCCATCTATCCATATTTTGACAGCATCCCATATTGCTAGGAAAATTAATGAAGCAGAACGGAAGGACCGGCAAAGGTGGCAGGGTGCTCTCAGGGCTAACTGAGCTCAAAATTAAGGGTTTGTTTAAAAAAAGAAAAGAAAAGACAATCGGTTAAATATTTCCACGGAGCTCCTGGCCTGCACAGTGCTTTACCCCACGAAACCCCGATACGGTCCCTGCCCTGAAAAGCGAGGTTCAGATCTGCTAGGCACTTAGTGCCTCAACTCCCATCGGCTCACCACTCCGGGGTCAGGCCCTAAATTAAAGAAATGTAAGAAATGACGACAACAAAGGGGGGAAGGTTCCAATTAAAATAGCGTGATCGATATATGCAATGCTTGTGTAACCCTTCTGCCAGGTGGAGCCGGCAGTAACCAGGGCCGGGTTCGGTATCTAGGGGTTCCTTTTCAACAATACAACACAAAACCGGCTCGAGCCCCCACCCAGTGACCTGGGACAATTACACAGCACCCCCTGGGCGCCTCTAAGAGGCAATACTGCCCCTCTCGCAAGCACAGAGTCTGAGTGTACCAAAACCTTTTAACAAAAGGAGGGAAGTAACAGCATTCATTTGGGAAAACACTGCAACTAGGGCTCATAAACATAAACCATGAGCCCTCAGGTTCTTAAGTCCAGCAACCCAAAGGTGCCCGTCCCTTCTCTGCACCCCACTCACAGTCGCTGTCCTTGGCCAGTGCAGACCCAGAGTTCAGAGGTTCATCCGCAGAGTTCACTTCCCACCCTGGGTGGAAGGCGGGGGGGGCGGTGTGTGTGTGTCAGGAGGCACCCTTGCTCGGGCACTCACTCGTCGCCCCAACAGACGATTGCTGCACCTCTCTGCGGGGCTCAGTTCTGGCCCTCTTCACCAGCCGCCCACCTGGCCACTCGCCAAGATGTCTTCATGGCCCCCCCACTTAACACAGCTCTCAATGATTACAACTGTTAGTGGGGGAGCCTCACTGATGGTGCACACTTGCAATACACACACTGTCCCAAAGTAAGTCTAATACTTAGACCTAGGTATCAGTGATTTCAGGTCTGCAGTGTAACAAGACTCTCAATGGAGTCTAAATTAGCTCTTTTATTATACCGTGGAGAGGGGAAGGGTCAAATGGTGTCTAGGACCCTTAAACAGGACCCACACCACTAGGTGCAAGTACCTGTCCCCAGCCTCTCTCAACTCATTGGGCTTTGGAACCCACGTTCTCTGCCTAGCGAGTGCCGTTCAGTTGAGGGTGAGTCCCTCCATCGGGGTAGGCCAGGTACAGTTCTGCTGTGAACCTCAGGGCCCTGCTCTGCTGGCGAACGGGCCCCTTTGCTTTAAGTGCCCAATGGCAGGTCGTTATAAGGAGGACAGAGCCTACAGAACATCACTGCAAACAAACCTCCCTCCAGTACAGCCCTTCATCTGAAAAACATCTCCTGCTTGGAGAATGATAAGAACATTCTCCCCTCCCCCAGCACACCCAAGGCCACACTTCTAGGACACACAGCTGCTTGGCTTTATCATCTTCCCCTATCAATTATTCCCATTTCATGGACTCGCGCAGGTCTAAGGACACGTCAGCCCATCTGCAGGCTGAAGGGAAGGTGACAGGAGGAGAAGAGCAGTTTTCAGCAGATAAAGCAGCTCTAAGCTGTGGAGTCAGGGTTGGCAGGCTAGGGTCAACCTCCCATGAGCAAGCTGGATATGCATCTGCATGGGATGTGGGTGGGGCAGCGAGCTGGCTTTCAGGAATGAAAGAGCATGCTGCAAAAAAAACAGCACACGCTAACCCTAAATTAACAACAGCCTCCTACATGGGGCCACATGTTACTGGGGAATTGGCCTCTCAGCTCCCTCTCCCGAGTCAGAGCTCCAGAAAAGTCTCCTTGTGCTGCCCTGCGCTTCCCATGACCGATCTGAAAGCACGGGGGGGGGGGGGGGGGGGGTTCCCCTCACTCCAGATCAGCACTCTGATTTCTCCCTCCCCGCAGCTCAGAGATGTGCATTAGTGCCTGGCAAAGCATCCCAGTTTCACACGCTCCTAAACATTTCTCCTTAAGGATCCCAAGCTGGCATCACAGTCTTAATTCCTGTACTTAAACCTCTTTCACTATTAACTCTTCAGGCTTTAACGGTGTAGTAAGATGAGGCCCTGAAACAAACTCTTGTATCAGAGGCCCAGTCTGAGGCCTGAAGCCTGAACCAAAGTACTTCCAGGCATTACTAAGCAAAAGCTGGGTTGTGAGCCAGAGGCAGGCCCCGCTCACAGAGGGTGGCGAGAAGAGGGTTGTTAGAAGCAGGTGCATTCACATATAAGTGCTAATAAGAGGAACTTGTGCCAAGATGGCACCTGGACAGCCCGATACAAGGACATTCCACAGACATAACAAGGAACAGGCAGGTGCATCTTAAAGACGGTCAAAAGGACAGCATGATGGATAGATCTGTTTGTTTGAAACAACATGATCAAAGGGGGAGACAGCACCCTAATGAGCCAAGGGGCTGTACCTCAATACGTCAGTAGGGATGAGTAATCTGTCCTGTAACTGTATAAAAGTAGGTCCCGGAGTGCGTGTCTTTGTCTGGCCTAGCGGGCAGTGGAAAGTCCCGCCACTGACTGAGCCAGTCCATTGCCAGGGGGCACATATTCGTAGTATGTCCTGTAGAGTCTATAGGATACTATTACTGTGCTCCGAGCCTTGCTCCTACCAGACTTTGATTTGGAGAACTGCCTTGGCTAACTGGGTTGCTGTAGGGCTCTGCATGGCCACACCTGAGCTGGGAAGGGCCCCACATCCAGACATGAGACAGGGAGGGGGAAGGAGGGAAAATTTGGGAATTGGTTTGGCCCAGCTCTGCTCTGAGCCGGTCCCAGTTTTCCAGGAGCTGGACATCCAATGGACCAGCTGACGCCATGAACTCTCCCCACTACCAGCCTCCATTCAGACCCCAACTGGATTATTCACTGGCACATGTCATATGAAGCAGGGACACTGAAGCCAGGAAAATCTGCCCATGTGGCATGAACAGGGAGACCCTTAGGTATAGCAGCCACCCAGCTTGTCACTAACCTTTGCTTTTGCAGGACAACAGCCCCCAGGTGCCAGCGCCCTCCCTGCAGCCAGTCGGATCAGGAACTCCTCGGCAAACCTGGAGCTCCGTAAAATGGCTGCAGTTTCTGCATCCACTTCCACGACGTCCCCTTCCTGGGAAACAGAGGGGATGTCACACACAGCCGAGAAGAACGCGGCAGGACCCAGCACCCACCAAACTGCCAGCTCTGTAGTGAGAGGGGGAGCGGGCTAGGGGCATGAGCGTTTGCAATGCTGAAGGGAAGCCATCGAAGCAGGAGTCCCCCCAGCGCAGTAGCTCTGCAAACAACCCCACGGACTGCTCACAGTCACTTTGGGATCTAATTCAGAATCACGCTGCTTCTTTTCCCCAGGCCCTCCTTTGATTTGCCCCGATCAAAACCACAGGCCTGGCCTCTCTACTCCCCTCCCCATTCATCCTGTGCTGGCCTCTTCTCGGTCCCATCACACAAACTTGCCGCTAGTGGCGCAAGAGCCTTCTTCTCTGCAGCTCCCGCCATCTGGAACAGCCACCCCGTGTCTGGCCAACCTCTCTCCATTCCCTGCCACTCTTCCCCTGTGTTGAGTGTTTCCACAATACAGGATGCTGCTCGATAAAGCTGCGTTGCTGTATTTAGGACCCCCTCCGCTCGAGGCCCCTTCTGTACAGGGCTGCTGAGCAGCAGGCGGTGCCACGTTGCAATCACAGAGTGCAGAAGGGGAAGTGTAAGCAGAGCCACGCGCTCTGGGCTTGGAGATCCAGCGCGGAGGTGCAGTAAAGCTGACACAGGCATGGCGATTAACTACGCCTGGGGGGCTTCCCTGTACCTTGAATGTGAAATTGGCATCAAACTCCAGCTCTTTCTCATGCCCAGTGATCCCGCCGTTGTAAATAACCTGGCACCGCTCGGCCGGACCTTTCTTGGGTACTTTGAAGAGACGGAAAGTCGCAGAGACAAACTGACAGTCACCTGAAAGCAAAACACCAGGTGATCTTACACTGTTTAGTTCAGTATTAACCCACCTCTCCCAGCACCACAGTAATGAAGCATCTTCTCAGCACTGCGGGATTTCTCCACCCAGCGCCTCTGGGAGTCTGGCAATATCATTGTCCCCTTTTTACAGATGGGGAAACTGAGGTACAGAGTGAGGTAGTGATTTGCCATTGGTCACCTGATGAAACTGTGGCAGAGGTGGGATCAGTGCCCATCTCTCCCAGGCCACAGTCTAGGGCAGTGGTCTCCAAACCTTTTATGCCCCAAATCACTTTTTTAATTTAAGGGCAACCCAGGATCTACCCCGCCCCTTCCCCAAGGCCCCGCCCCGCTCACTCCATCACCCCAACTCTCCATCGCTCGCTCTCCCCCACCCTCACTCACTTTCACCAGGTTGGGGCAGGGGGTTGGGGTTCTGGAGGGGGTGTGGGCTCCGGGCTGGGGCCGAGGGGTTCGCAGTGTGGGAGCGGGCTCTGGACTGAGCCTGGGGCAGGGGGTAAGGGTGAAGGAGGGGGTGAGGTAGATTGCAAGCTCTGGGAGGGAGTTTGGGTGCAGGAGCAGGTCGGCTCTGGGAGGGGGTCAGGGATAGGGGTTGGAGTGCTGGCTCTGGGCGGGGGGGGTCATGGCTGGGGCAGGGTTGCAGAAGGGGGCTCAGGGCTGAGGTCTGGGGTACAGGAGGGGGTTTGGGGTGCAGGCTCTGGGAGGGGGCTCAGGGCTGGGGGTTGGGGTACAGGAGGGGGTTTGGGATGCTGGCTCTGGGAGAGGGCTCAGGGGCTGAGGTGCGGCCTCCCACCAGGCGGCACTTACTGTGGGCGGCTCTCAGGCGGCGGCGCAGCAAGGCTAAGGCAGGCTTCCTGCCTGCCCTGGCCCCACACTGTTCCCAGCAGGGGCCAACGCGCCCCTGTGGCCAGGGGAGGGAGGGACATGGCTCCAAGTGCTGTCCCTCTCTGCCGCACCACCCCCCTCAGCTCCCATTGGCTACAGTTCCCCATTCCCGGCCAATGGGAGCTACAGGGGCAGTACTTGCAGGCAGGAGCAGCGTGATAAGACACCTGCCCTTTCTCTCCCCCTCTCCCACCATGGGACCGCAGGGCTGCGCTGGCCGCTTCTGGGAGCGGTGTGGGGCCGGGGCAAGCAGGGAGCGAGCCTGCCTTAGCGGCAGTCCCGCACACCACCAGAGATCGCGATCAACTGGGAGAGTCTCTAGGATCGACCAGTCGATCACATTTGACCGGTTGATGACCACTGGTCTAGGGCCTGAACTGCATAGAACAGTGATGGCAGACTAGTGAGAAAGCTGCTATGCAACTCAAGTACTTCTAAGGAGACGTCTGCACAGCAGCTGGAAAGTGTCATTTCCAGCTCAGGGAGATGAGCACGCACCGACTATGCATAGCTGTGGTGGGACGGACGAGCCGCCTGAGTACGTACCTAGGGTCTTGGAGGGGATCACACTCCAGCGGCAAGCCTCACGCATCAGTACCATTGTTCATTAAACTCCAGTCACTTCATTCTTACTGTTGGTGATGTGTGAGAGGGAAACCGCCCCATGTGACTCTCAGATCCCAGGCTAAGTTTGCAGGGCTAGCAGCTAGAAAAGCCAGCAGTTTGGATCTGGAAGCACTGACCCCCAAACATGGCCCCTCATGATAGGTCCCACTTGTCAGAGAATGGAAGCAAACTTTAAACAGTGGCCGCATTCCATTCCACACCTGGCTGAGTTCCACTGAGGGCTGGAGTGGTCCCTACCTACCTCTCAGGGGTGCTGAGAGGCAGAATTGCTGCCTGGAAGGTGATCTGAGATCCTAGGACAAAAGGGTGCTGTGGAAGGGCAAACTTGTTGCTAGAGACAAACTGCACATTGCTCTGGTTCATCCTGTGCTTTCTCACAGCCGTATTCTGGGCTGGAGTATTTAGTCTTTTCTATTCTTGGGCTTAAAAAAAAAAAAAAAGCCCCAATTGTCTCTCTTCTACATTTACATTTCCTATCGCCCACAGCAAGGTCTAGTGTCGGTGCTATCAAACGAAGTCAAGGCTCACTGGGGTTGTGGTCAATGGCGCGCTCCCCGCTCAAGCACTTGCTGCAGACGACAGCACATGTAGATTGCAAGCTCTGCGGGGCAGGGACCACCTTTTTATTTTGTGTTTTTACAGAGCCAAACGCAGTGGGGGCCCTGGTCCATCAGTGGGGCTTCCGGGGTATGTCTGGTAGACAGACTCTTGCTGCCTGAGGCTACACCACTTTGCTTTATCCTAGAGCAGGACCATGGAACCCCCGCCCGTACTGCTAGGGCGGACCAGGGGTCGATGCTCTGCCCATGGCACTCACTCACCGACGACGCTCTCCAGTTCTTTGTTATTGATGGTTATTCGGCTTGCGGTCACCAAGCGCGGTGGGCAGAATCCAACTTCCTCAGCAAGTCTGTAGAGGTCCTTCCACCACAGGGCTCCTCCCAGGCACTCGCCTATGATCACAGAGTAATTACACGCATTGTGCAGCCAGCCACGCCAGGGCACAATGAGTGGCACACAGCCTGCTGTCAGGTTTTTAATAGGGCTGTCGATTAATTGCAGTTAACTCACGCAATTAACTCAAAAAAATTATTTGTGATTAATCACAGTTTTAATCGCACTGTTAAACAATAGAATACCAATTGAAACTTATTAAATATTTTGGATGTTTTTCTACATTTTCAAATACATTGTATTCTGTGTTGTAACTGAAATCACAGTGTATATTATTTTTATTATAGATATTTGCACTATATAAATGATAAACAAAAGAAATCGTATTTTTTCAATTCACCTCATACAAGTACTGTAGTGCAATCTCTTTGACGTGAAAGTGCAACTTACAAATGTAGTTTTTTTGTGTCACATAACTGCACTCAAAAACAAAACAAAGTAAAACTTCAGAGCCTACAAGTCCACTCAGTCCTACTTCTTGTTCAGCCAATCGCTAAGACAAACAAGTTTGTTTACATTTGCAGGAGATAATGCTGCCCTCTTCTTATTTACAGTGACACCAGAAAGTGAGAACAGGTATTTGCATGGCACTTTTGTAGCCAGCACTGCAAGGTATTTATGTACCAGATATGCTAAACATTCGTACGCCCCTTCATGCTTCGGCCATCATTCCAGAAGACGTGCTTCCATGCTCGTGACATTTGTTAAAAAAATAATGCATTAATTAAATTTGTGACTGAACTCCTTGGGGGAGAATTGTATGTCTCCTGCTCTGTTTTACCCGCATTCTGACATACATTTCATGTTATAGCAGTCTCGGATGATGACCCAGTACATATTGTTCATTTTAAGAACACTTTCATTGCAGATTTGACAAAACGCAAAGAAGGTACCAATGTGAGATTTCTAAAGATAGCTACAGCACTCGACCCAAGGTGCCTTCCAAAATCTGAGAGGGACAAGGTGTGGAGCATGCTTTCAGAAGTCTTAAAAAAGCAACAGTCTGATAAGGAAACTTCAGAACCCTAACCACCCAAAAAGAAAATCAACCTTCTGCTGGTGGCATCTGACTCATGATGAAAATGAACATGCGTTGGTACGCACTGCTTTGGATTGTTATCAAGCAGAATCTGTCATCAGCAATGACACATGTCCCCTGGAATGGTTGAAGCATGAAGGGACATATGAATCTTTAGCGCATCTGTCACGTAAATATCTTGCGATGCCGGCTACAACAGTGCCATGAGAACGCCTGTTCTCACTTTCAGGTGACATTGTAAACAAGAAGCAGGCAATATTATCTCCTACAAATGTAAACAAACTTGTTTGTCTGAGCGACTGGCTGAACAAGAAGTAGGACTGAGTGGACTTGCAGGCTCGAAAATTTTACATTGTTTTATTTTTTAATACAAATGTAGAATTATGTACAAAAAAACTGTAAGTTCAACTTTCATGATAAAGAGACTGCACTACAGTACTTGTATTAAGTGAATTGCAAAATACTATTTCTTTTGCTTTTTACAGTGCAAATACTTGTAATAAAAAATAAATATAAAGTGAGCACTGTGCACTTTGTATTCTGTGTTGTAACTGAAATCAATATATTTTAAAATGTAGAAAACATCCAAAAATATTTAAATAAATGGTATTCTATTATTGTTTGACATAGCGCGATTAATCGCGATTAATTTTTTTAATCACTTTACAGCCCTAGTGAGCCGCAGCGCATGATGGGACAAGGCATTCTTGGAAATTCTATCAGTTCTGGGTAGAGATCTCATTCGGGAAAGTTTAAGGGTACCAGTTCAGGTTCCCAGGCACCTGGGACACAAGAGGCAGCATGTGGGGAAGGGATCCTTCTAACCAGATTCCTAACTCCCAGCCTCCAGCTCACACCACTAGTCCTCATTGCCTCAAGTCAGGTAAGAAAATCACTCACCCCAGAGGACCCTGTGTTTCCTGATGTCCTCAGGCAGGTCACAGCTGGCATAGACATCGCTGAAATACATCTCTCCGCCAGCCTGGAAAAGAGCAATGCTTAGCCACAGCAAGAGCTAAAAATGACACCAGCCCTTGATAGGGACAGTGTTTGCCAGAGAACACAGACAGGGCAGCTCGGCCGGGGCTGCCCTTGCCAGCAACGCGATTGTCTATTCCAGAGCTATTGTGTCTGCCCGAGCATTCCTGGCCAGCGCACTCAGACAGCCCAATTAGTCAAGGTCTCCAAGGTAATCAATTAAGAGCAACAACCCCTCTGCCCCACCACCTTTGGCTCTACCCAGATTAAATTCCACCATCACCCTCATTTTGTTTCATAAGCTGAGTGTGAACATGGTGCTCGGGGACGGAGGGGCTGAGATCACAGGCACATTGCAGACAGGTGCTGGGCAAGATTCCCTGACAGCTCTGGCAATACAGCCCAATCCTGCCCTGCAGCACCCCCTGCTGGCCCAGTCCTGGGGCACCCCCTCAACCTGTCCGTCTGGGCCTCATGGGCAAAGACTTCCAATTGCGATCTACTATTTGATGGTGGAGAGGACATGGACAAAAGGAGAGCAAGGGAGCAAAGCAGTCACTGCACTGCATCAGACTAATGGTCCATCTAGACCAGTATCCCGTCTCTGGCAGTGGCCAGTACCACTGCTTCAGAGGAAGGTGGGAAAATGGACAGTTACGGAACAATCTGCCTAGAAAGGGAGTCGCTCATCACCCGCTCATCAGTTAGCAGCTGGCTTCACCTTTCATCATTCATATAAACATCTATCCGTTTCTTGGACTCTCCTAAGCTCTTGACTTCAGTGACACCTTGTGGCAATGAGTTCTGCAAGTTAACTGATCATTATGCTAAAAAGTATTCCAATCTTTAATGTGGTGTTGTTCTGTGTCACTGGTCGCCCCCCTGGTTTATAACAATGGGAGAACAGATGCCCATTGTTAGTCTGAGTATCTCTATTGCCTCCCTACTGTCATGCAGGGTGAAATCCTGCCAGCTTGAAGATAAAGGCAAAACTCCCACTGACTTCAATGAAGCCAGGATCTCCCTTTCCCTCCCCGCTCTCTCAGCCCCAGAATTCTTCTTCTCTCCTCATATGGAAATCTCTCTGGGCCTGTGTTGCGTTTTGCTGCCTGTCTGTTGACCCCTCGCACCCCAAAAGGCAGGATGGGATCCAGTGTTGCTCCCCAAACCCCATCATGATCTCTCTCTCTCTCTCTCACACACATGCACACACACAGCGCATGCCCTGCTCTGGGGTTACCTTTAGCACTCGATAGGCCTCCTGCAGGACTGCTCTCTTATCAGGCGAGAGGTTAATCACGCCGTTTGAGCTAGACAGGAGATAAAAGCCCAGTGAGGCACCAGGAGGAGGAAAGCAATGTGGGTTTGAGTCAGGCTAGAACAAATGGCTAGGCCTGACCTTGCAGCTGGGCCGCAGCTTTTGATCTGGAACACTGGCAGGAGTAACAGATGCCTGGAGGGTCCTCAGCCATCCTTCAGCAAGGCTCAAGGCTTTCACCCTCCCCCCCTCCCTGTCCCAACTGCCCAGACCCCTATCCACACCCCCACCTCCAGACAGGCCCCCCAGGACTCCCACACCTATCCAACCCCCCGGTTACCTGTACCCTGACGGCTCCCCCCACCCCCCAGAACCTCCACCCCATCCAACCGCCTCCTGCTCCCTGTCTCCTAACTGCTCCCCAGGACCCCCTATCCCTTATCCAACCCCACCACTCCCCGCCCCCTTACCATGCCACTCAGAGTGGCAGGACTGGCTTATTGGAAAGCCTGGGAGGTGGGTGGGCGCAAGCCACGCAGCCCAGCAGGAGCATTGGGCCAGAGTGCTCCCCACGCGGCAGCGTGGCTGCGGGGGAGGGGGGACAGCAGGGGAGGGGCCGGGGGCTAGCCTCCCTGGCCGGGAGCTCGGGGGTGGGGCAGGACAGTCCCGCGGGCCGGATGTGGCCTGTGGGCCGTAGTTTGCCCACCTCTGTACTAGGGGCAAGGCCCCATGAGCTTAGACTGCATCTGCTTGGGGCTCTAGAGGTGTTACCAGGGGTGAAAATAACTTAAAGGATTTACCAGTATGCAGGGCAGCCAGCGTCCTAAGCAAGGAGGGGGGGCAGCTCTGGGCCCCTGGAAGGGGCGGGGCCTCAGGTGGAAGGGGCAGGGCTGGGGCCAGACTCTACCAGCCAGCTCTTCAGCACTGTACAGCCTGCGCTGCCTGGGGCTCCGGTGGCGATTTAAAGGGCCTGGGGCTCCAGCCGCTGCCGGGGTAACAGCCGGAGCCCCAGGCCCTTTAAATTGCCACCGGAACCCCAGGCTAGCAGCAGTGTTCGCTGGGAGCCCCAGGCCCTTTTAAATCGCCAGGCCCCGGGACAGCTGCCCCTTTCCCCCCCACCCCGTCAGCGGCCCTGCTGGTACGGTGCTTAAAGCGCTGCTGCGGCCCGTACTAGCGGCCACTTTCTTACCAGTACATCGTACCGGCCCGTACTGGCTTACTTTCACCTCTGGGTGTTACCTCACTACAAATACTAGACTAGAAACTAGCCTTAAACAGGAGTGAAACTGACACTTTCAAGTCACTTTCACAGTATTGCCAATCCCAAATGTTCAAAAATCCTGAGCCAGGCTCACCAAAAATCATGAGATTATGTAAAAATAACAGATTTGGGGTTCTTTTTATTTGCCTTCTGCTTTTTGAGCCTTTAGGGTGCACTGGGGCCACATTTTGAAGCTTTCTCCAGAGCCACAAGGACTAGAAACTTCATTTTCTTTAAGAATGAAGGCTGAAATCATCACATATCCACTTGACTCCAGGAGCTGGGGCTTTAAGGAAAACAATTATCATGAGACTCATGACAAAATCATGCGAGTTGGCAGCACTGCTTTTACTTCTGTTTAAAGGCTAGTTACTTTCCAGAAGGCTCTTAAACACAACACTACAGCGACTGAGTTGCAATTCTCACAGGAGAATATTTAAAACCAAACACCAAGAAAATTCTATATTTTAAAGTTGAGGAAAAAAATAGACTTCTGAGGTGTCTCAGGGCCACTGCAGGCAGGAAAGGTAAATAAACAGGCATGGGAGCTCTGGGCAGCTCTTCCTTTAGAAAGAAAGTTGGAGGGTCAAATCTTCTAGTCCTTAATCAACTAAAACTTCTATTGTCATCAGTGCCTCCACTCATAGCTATAAACATCACAGTGTGGTCAAGAACTATACACTTCATACTTAAATATCTGAGCCATCTTATCCAGAGTTACACAACTTACATGCATTGGCTCAGGGCATATTCTGAACAGTGCTGAGCACACAGATGGTGCCCAGTGAATAATGCAAATCATGACAATAATCGTTGCCTTTATGGACTCTGTGGATGCAGTTTCTGTTCTTTGTCTGGAATTGGCCTGAATACAGCTGAGACCCTAAGAATTTGAGGCATAAACACATCTAATCCTCATACAGCCCTTCCTCATTCCTTCCTTTTATCAGACTCAACAAAAAATGACTGAACAAAATGGTTTTCAGTTAAAATGTAAAATTGCACAGGAGCCATTGCTGTACAGCCCAGCATGGGGGAGAACCTGTCACCCCTCAGGAGTTAAGTGATTTCCTCTCATCTGACTCTCATTCTCCATCCTTCCTAACCTCGGTGATGCTTTTCATGCTGTCAACCATGGCATCCATCCTGGGACCCTTTCAGAGAACTGGCCGCCTTGGTTTTGCTCCCATCTATCAAAGTCCTCTTGTTTTTGCAGCATGCAGCAGAGGCGGGGGGGGGGGGGGGGGGGGGGGGCGGGTGGGGGGGGGGGCGCCCCCCGAGAACGCCGGGTCCTCCCCCCCCCCCCCCACTGGATTTCCTCTCTGACCCCAGGCCAGTGCTTTAAGGACAGAATTTCAAACGCTTTTAGGCACCCAAAGATGCAGGTAGGCATCTAATGGGGTTTACAAAGCACCTAACCTTCTAAGTGCATTTGAAACTCTCACTAGGTGCCTAAATACCTTTGAAAATCTGGCCTTTAGTCTGTGTGTGCCTCAGTGCCCCATCTGTAAAATGGGGATAATAGCATTGCTCTACCTCACCGAGGGGCTGGGAGGGAAATAGATTAGACATTGTGAGGCGCAGCCTCAGATACTACGGTGATGGGGCCACATAAGTACCACAGATAGAGCAGGAACTTCTCTATACACTGCTAGCCGTTCCCTGGGTTTGACCCCTTCTTTTCACCGACGCCCCCAAATCTCCCCCTTTTCTGAACACAACCTAGGCTCAGTGCTTTGTTGTATTTTTTCTGAGACCCCTGTGTTCCCTCTAAAACAACCCTTCCCTCCCCCCCCCATAGAGGGATTCCTCTTTTAATTGACCATTTTGATTATCACTACAAACTTTTTTTTCCTGTTGATAATGGGTCGTCTTAATTAATTAGCCTCTTGGAACTGGTATGACATCTTCTCTGTATGTATATATATATACTCTTATTATATGGTCCATTCTATGCATCCGACCAAGTGGGTTGTAGCCCACGAAAGCTTATGCTCAAATAAATTTGTTAGTCTCTACGGTGCCACAAGTACTCCTGCTCTTTTACAGGCTAAACTTCCAGATCCTTAATTTAGTCACCAGCCCTTTCTTATCTTAATCACCCTGCCTCTGTCCGTAAACAAACTACTGACTCCCTGCCCCAGGGGCACCTCCCCTCTGCAGAACTTACGTTTCACACTAATTCTGTGCTGTAGTTAAGAGCTCCACCTGGGAGCTTGCACACCTCTTGTATGAAACTCGGGGGCGGGGGGGACTCCCGCCCTCCCCAGCCCCTCCTAACTGGTGCCCTTGGGTAATACCATCACCTGAAATTACTAAAAATGAAGCATCAGATCACTTTTCACCCTTTTGGCCGGCCCTTTATTTACTGCATCCCATGGACAGTGAAACCAGTCTGGCCAATTTAACATGTGCGTCTAGTCGGTGTTACTTTCTGATCCTCATGTACTAACCCACTGCTGTAGTGTCCCTGCTGCAAACACTGCAGACTTAGGGCTGTTTACATGCTAACACAAAACTGTTTCCATTGAGCATCTGAAAAAAGGAAATCAAACACAGGGACGTTTCTAGTAATCTTACATTCTGTTAAACTTTGGGCCAGATGTTAACTTGGCATTTTCCCTTCAATAATTACAGCTAAAGCTAATGACTCTGTTGGACAAGGGTCAAGGACATTCGATTAGAGGCATCAATAAATGGAACAAGTCTGATCTGCCTCCTATCCCCAGCCCTATCCTGGGCTCTGAGACCCCACATGGTTTGAGACTAGGTTTCATTTTTTAGTTTGACTGGATCCAGCCACTTGTCCTTTCTGTGGGCACCGTTTGTCTGAATGACACAAAACTCCAGCCAGGTACCCAGGCCTCAGATTAGTGCTTACGGTATATTTCTTCAGTGTACATCCCTGAACTGAAACCCAAAGAGTTAAAAGAGTTTGGGCAGGGACATGATTGACTGATGCACAAGAAACAAGTACCTAACCTATTGTACAGACCCCTGCAGGAGCTCTGAGAATGGTACTCACATAACTATATCATAACTCTCGTCTTTAAGGCCAGCATCTCCCAGCTTTTCCATGTAGCCATGGATGAAGTCCACGTTAGGCACCTGGTAGCCAAATTTCTTCATGTGATAGTCAACGTGCTTCTTTGCCACTTCTACCTGGAGGAGGGAAACAAACAAGCAGGCTGTAAACTACATAAACTCTTTAAGGTGTTTCTAAAGTCTCTTCCCCTTCATGCGCCAGAGGGCCCACATATTCTCATTAGGGCCCTAAGCATCTCCCTTTATTTCTCCCCAACCCCAGCCATTTTGAGTCCTAGATCATGGCTACCAAATCTCCTGGCCAAAGAAGAACAGATGGGATTCCATACAGAGACCAACAAATGGCAAGACCAAGTCTCGTACTGGCCAGGGATAGGGTGGGTGGGGAGTGTCTCTATTTGATCAACAAAGCGTGGGACTGGCAAAGGCTTTTGATCAACGTAGAGCCCAGCAAGGGGCTGTGCACGTTGTCTTCACCACAGCACTCTCTGGGAAGGTAGGGAAGAGACCAGCACTCATACCAGTGTCTCATGCCTGATGGTGCAGGGTATTATCCCTGCATCCCCCCGTACAGGATATTGCATGCTGCGTGACGGTCTGGAAGGTGGAAGGAGTGAGATGATAAATGGCAAAATACATTTACCCCATTTCCACACACAGGTCTCTAACAGGGCTAGAAGAAGCTGAGAATGGGGAAATTACTTCTCTCAGTGACTCTATCAAAGGCAAGTATCAGGGGGTATCAAAGGCAGGAATCTCAATGACCAAGCAGCTAAAAAACAATCATTCAGTGCCTTGCATTACAGGTACTTAAACTCGACCCACACGTGCACTGCATTAAACCTTGTAGCTTGCATGAAGATAAGATTATTAAAGCTAAGGTTACTATCTGCGTGCAGCTGAACCCCCTACACCGGACAGTCCCCATATACCAAAGGATCAACTTTGAACTCTAAGCACCATGCAGTTCCGCCTTGGTGGGAAGAAGTTATTTTTGCTTCCAAAGCTGAGAACCATGAAGATAAAGACCTGGACTTTGATTACCACTATTCAATTCGGAAACATACCTGGGCGTCGGTCATGTCTATTCCAGTGACATGCCCTTTCTCCCCAACTAGTTTACTCAGCATATAGCAATCCCTGCCACTCCCACTCCCCAGATCCAATATCCAACAGGTCTCCAGGCACTCTGGGATCACCAGGCCGCAGCCATAGTACCTGAGGGAAGAAACTCTCAAGATCAGTGATTCTGGAACCACGGGGTCTCACCAACCTCAGCATGCAAGGGAAGGGCATTTTCAGATGGGGTGGATGAAAACGTGTCATGGAGAGCAAATCATCAGGAACACCCAACTCACATATGCAGATATGGATTAATTAAGCCTCGCTGCTTATCTCCATTTTATATTGGGCAAACTGAGGCACTCAGATGTGTGATCTGCCCAAAGGCTCTTGGTGAACAAAGACAATGACAGGCCAAGAAAATCGTTTTCTGATCGAACATCCTGTAGCCAGACCTTGGAGATTAGAGCAAAGGTTTTTAATGGATTTCTGATCGGGGATATATGAACTATAAGGAGAGTGACAGTTTTATGTCTATTAGCTTATCTTTTCCTCTCCAGATTTGAATGGACAGGGTTTATGGGGAGCTTTTTACCTTTAATGTTCTTTCTGTTAATTTTCCTAACATTTGCTGCTCATTGTAACTTTAAATTAATGACTTTGTGTGTAGAAATGGTTACGAAGGTTGATTGGAATTAACTGATTCATTTTAAAGCTCCAAACTGCATTCATTTGTTTCTTTCTCATTAATTTGTTCTCTGCATTAATTTGTTTCTCTCTGCCTCTGCTTTTTGGCAGGAATTTCTCCTTCGAGCTGGCAACCTCCAGGCCTCAAGGACTGTGGTGGAGGTAGGCTGCCTCCAGCTGAGAAATTATGAGAGACGTACAAGGATGAACTGGCTACTTTCTTCCCCATTGTATTCTCTGGATAGAGCGACTCCACTGGGCCGAGGCGGTTTCAGTGAGTGAAGCGCTATAAGAGCGTCAGTTCTTTACCTTGACACAACATCATCGTGGACACACTTCAGAGCTTCCTTTATGAACGTGGGCAAAGGCCTGGCCAAGGTGACGCAGGCATTGGTTTGCAGATCCTCTGATTTCTGCAACTCTTTACCATAATAATCCTGAGATGGGAAGACAAAAAGTCCATATGTCTCCATAGCCCACCAGAGCCTACGGATTCTAGTTACCTCCCTGCCCCCACCCCGGGGTTACTCTTGCTCCTCTTTGCAGGGTCAACCAGATCTGCAAGCAGTATTCAAGCTGTGGGCATACCACGGATTTATATAGAGGCAATATGATATTTTCTGTCTTATTTTTTATACCTTTCCTAATGATTCCCAACACTCTGATAGCATTTTTGACTGCCGCTGCACATTGAGTGGATGTTTTCAGAGCACTATCCACAATGACTCCAAGATCTCTTTCTTGAGTGGTAACAGCTAATTTAGACCCCTTCATTTATATGTATAGTTGGGATTATGTTTTCCAATGTGCATTACTTTACTCACAGGTCATGTTTTCTAGACCTTTAATCATTTTTGTTGCTCTCCTCTGGACTTTCTCCAATTTGTCCACATCTTTCCTGAAATGTGCCACTAGACACAATACTCCCGTTGAGGCCTTATCAGCATGGAGTGGAGCAGAAGAATTACTACTCATGTTTTGCTTACAACACCCCTGCTAATACATCCCAGAATGATGTTTGCTTTTTTTGTTACAGAGTTACACTGTTGACTCATATTTAGCTTGTGATCCACTGTGACCCCCCAGATCCCTTTCCACAGTACTGCTTCCGAGGCAGTCATTTCCCATTTTGTATGTGTGCAATTCATTGCTCCTTCTTACGTGGAGTACTTTGCATTTGTCTATATTGAATTTCATCCTATTGACTTCAGACCATTTCTCCAGTTTGTCCAGATCCTTTTGAATTTTAATCCTATCCTCCAAAGCACTTGCAACCCCTCCAAGCTTGGTATCGTCTGCAAACTTTACAAGTGTACTCTCTATGCCATTATCTAAATCAATTATGAAGATATTGAAAAGAACCAGACCCAGGACCGATCCCTGCCAGACCCCACTCGTTATGCCCTTCCAGCTTGACTGTGAACCACTGATAACTACTCTCTGGGAACGGTTTTCCAATCAGTTATGCACCCACTCTATAACAACTCCCTCTAGTTTATATTGCCCTAGTTTGTTTATGAGAAGGTCATGAGAGACAGTATGAAAAGTCTTACTAAAGTCAAGATATACCACGTCTACCGCTTCCTCCCTATCTACGAGGCTTGTTACCTTGTCAAAGAAAGCTGTTAGGTTGGTTCGACATGATTTGTTCTTGACAAATCCATGCTGACTGTTACTTATCCCTTTATCTTCTACCTGTTTGCAAACTGACTACTTGATTATTTGTTCCATTATCTTTCTGAGTACTGAAGCTAAGCTGACTGATCTGTAATTTTCCAGGTTGTCTTCATTCCCCCCCCTTCCCTTTTTTTTTTTTTTTTTAAATACATGGGCACTATATTTGCTCTCTTCCAGTCCTCTGGAATCTCTCCTGTCTTCCATGAGCTTTCGAAGATAGTCACTAACGGCCAGTTAGCTCCTTCAGTATTCTCGGATGTATTCCATCAGGGAGGGAGCACTTTGCATGCTGCTATAACCAGGGCTCAGGTATAAAAGGCTTGCGGAGGCTGGGCCTCCCCAAACAGGGCAAGAAATGCTGGATGTGGTGCACCTCCCTTTGGAGGCGGGCCGGCACCGCTGCCTTTGGAGCGCCACCACCGGAAGCTCCCAAGAAGTGGGGGAGCCACCGTTGCCCAGACTGTGGCCCTGCCGCACTCCACCAGCGCGTGGCCTCTTCCCCCCCAAGGCCTCCCCCCCCCCCGCCCGCTGCTTGTGCCTCGCCGGGGGAGGGGTTGGAGAGGCGCGAGCAGCAGGCCAGGGGGACTTTGGTGAAGGAGAGGAGCAAGCAGGGATAGGAAGAGGTGGAGTGGGGCGGCCTGGGGGAGAAGAGGACAAGCGGAAGCAGAGCAGAAGGCGGGGCCACAGTCCAAGCCCCATTCCCACTTCTAGGGAACTTCCGGCATTCGCGCCCAGCCTCCCCGAACACAAGAGCCATGCGCTGCCTATGGCTCAGGTGTAACGTTTGGGGGGAGGGGAGGGCAGCTGGAGTCAATGGGGCACGCTCCAGTGCAGGGTAGGCCCTAGCAGTGCCCGCTCCTTCATCCCAGCGCTTACCTGCACCTCTCTGTAAATCTGCTCTCCAGATGGGGCAGCCACTGCAAGAACAACCAGAAGCCTGAGTCAGGGGACCTGATGCTACAGTGATGGGTGCCAGCCTCGCAGAGCCGCCCAGAGGATTCAGGGGGCCTGGGGCAAAGCGGGGGGGAGCTTGTACTCATCGGGCGGCACTCCGAGTCTGCGGCGGCGGCATTTCGGCGGCGGGGGGCCCTTCAGTCGCTCCGCGTCTTCGGCAGCACGGAAGCACCCACTGCCAAAATGCCGCCAAAGACCCAGAGCGACTGAAGGGCCCCCAGCCGCCGAAGTACCGCCGAAGACCCGGACCGCCGCCGGGTGAGGAAAGGGATTCTCAGCCACGGCTCGCGGGGGGCCCGGGCCAAATTGCCCCACTTGCCCCCCCCCCCGGGCGGCCCTACAGCCTCGAGCCCACATAGAGAGTGGCACCAAGCAAGCACCCCTAACCGCCCAGGGGAATGCTGCGCTGGGGGGACCCCGCAACACCTCCTGGGGGGCAAACCCCTAGCCCGCAAGACAACCCCCCCTCGCCTCAGAGACCCTCCCCCAACCCTGTCCTGCTGGGACCCCCTCCCCCAGAGACCCTCCCCCACCCCGAGACCCTGTCCTGCTGGGACCCCCTCCCCCCAGAGACCCCGCCCCGCCAAGACCCCCTCCCCCCAGAGACCCCGCCCCCGGCGAAATGCCCCCAGGCGACCCCCAGAGGGCGCTTGGAGGGCCCGGGCCCCGCCCCCAGCGGCGCGTACTACTCGCGGCTGCGGCTGCACTGACGGACACCGGACCCTGCCGCCGCCCCGCGCTAGGCTCCGGGGCGGGCTACGAGAGAGGCGGGACTTCCGCTTCCGGAGGGGGCGGAGCTAGGGAACCCTCCAGGGAGTCACTCCCCCTCCCGCCCATCTCCCTGCCAGCATGAGCCCGCCACGCCCCCAACCCCTTCATAGCCCCGCCCCCTCTGTTCCCC